ATCATCATCATCTCTGGGTTTTTAGAATGCCAGTGATCTTTGTCCCTCATGGTTCACTATATTAAACCCTCACCCTGTTCTGGACATCACTGCATGAGCCCAGGAGCCCTTCCACAACCTGTTGTCTGTAAACACAATTTCCTTTTATGTAAAAAAAAAAAAAAAAAAAAACTGGTTAAGGCTTTAAAATCAAAAAAAGTCATAAGAACACCATTCAGAAGTGCTGTCATCTTTTTTTTCTATCAGAGCTCTGTTCAAAAGCTTGCCTCTCTGATGATATGGAGGTGTATTATTGCTTATGGCATGGGCAGCTTACACATCTGGAAAGGCTGCATTAATGTAGAAAAGTATTTACAAGTATTAAAAAAACAATAACCAAACCTCTCATGCAAGAATAGGACAACATGCTCTCCAACAAGTCATGAATGAATGAAGCCTGAATGTATGAAACTTTTGCAAAGTAACCTTCAATAATTAACTTTTAGAGTCAACCTGGTGTAAGATGCTTGCCATTGATAATCAATAGGAAACAGAAAAATATTCATAAATCTGATAATTTTATACATATTGAGCTAAAGTWTGGTGTGGTAGAAGCTGAGACTGTTTTCCAACTTATAGAATCCGAACACCAACTTATCACATCAGATCTTTCTTCAGACCTTTGGCATTTCCTTTTCGAAGTCATCTCTGTCTGTCTGTCAGCAAAATATCTTATAAACCACTGGATTCTAATACAAGTTTCAGGAAATAATCATTGAGCGTACATCTAGAGAGTTTCTTGCTCTTCATTCTGTCTCTTGCTTGGTGGTAGAACTTAGAAGTGTTGGATCATGTTTCACTTACCATTTTAATGTAATTTTAGATCAATTTAAAACATAAATTCCCTTCATTTAACGTCATTACTTCAGAGTATTGTGTGTATGTGTGTTACAACCAAATGAAACATTCATCTGAGTTTCAGGTTGTGCCAAGAAAGCCCATCTTTTGATGAAGTGAAGTGTTTATAAAGCAGCCAGTTTGTTAACAAGAATAAAATTACAACACCAACACAACATCACTGAGTTGTAAAAATCTTCAGGAGTTTGGAAAAATAAAAACCATGTCCTGATTCCATTAGACTGAACCACAAAATATGAATGTTAGCTATAAGCTGGTGCATTAACTGACCTGAATATTACAGCTGTCTGTCTGCCTTTGTGTATAACATAAAGAAGAAGCAGCCTACCTGTGCCGTAAAGCATGGCCAGCAGTATGGAGGAGATCCAGGCTGTGTCACTGTATCCAACACCAAACTCCCTGATCAGCTCTTTGAAAAAGACGCTAACTGCTTTAGGGAAAGCGTAGGAGAATCCCGTGATGACGAAACATCCAGCCAACACGGCCCAACCCCAACCTCCATCTGGAGCCTTCACACCTGTTGGACCCACATCCACCACAGCACCTCCCATACTGCTTTATGGCTGTGTCCTTATGGAGGCAGTGACAGAAGCTGGAAGAAAAAAAAATAGACATTTGGGTTGAATTTAATCACTAATTCATGATGTAAAAATCAGTAGTATGCTCACTCAAATCCATGTTTTCTTCAAGGTGGTTCTGGGAAGACATTAACCCACAAAATAACCAGCGAGGCCTCGTGAATTAATTTGTCCCAAGGCCAGCAGGCGAATGTTGACAACAAGTTGACAAACAGCATTTGTGTAAGATTCTAAAAAATGTCCTAAAACAAGGGTTTTCAATTAACTTAGATTAGATTCACAGGTTTTGAACACATTTAAAAGATTGCAGGAGGAATTTTATCTCTACTCAGTTGATGTGAGCATCCTCAACCCATCTCAAGACTGCTGCAGCTGTGATTTGATCTTCCATGGCTCTGAAACCATGCTGAGGATAAATTTTATTTATTGAAAGATGGGTTCAAATCTGCCTACTTTCATGTTTTAAAGAGTACTTTGGTGGTTTAAAACGTGTAGCTGGCTGCCCAGAAGACAGGTGGGTACAGCAGGCCAAGGCAGGGACWATGTAGTAGGAGGTGGAAAACAAAATAATGTGCATGGTAGAAAATACAGTTTTCCAAGCTGTGCAAAAATAATTTATGGTTTGCAAAAACTGGCAAAAGATGGACACACGACTCACTTCATTGCAAACTTTCAGAACTCAGCTCAGAAGATTCAAAGCCATTCCAGTCACAAATTTGTGACGTTAACCGATTCTATTTTCTCTTCTCTGCTCTGCCTGGGCTTTCTCCCACTGACTTGGATTTCTCTGGTAGAATTTCAACCAGGCCAATCAGCAAACAGAAGGAGGAGTTGTGAACGATGACGTTGATTTTCTGCGTCTTCTTGGAATTGTAGTTTGCCTGTCGTTTAGCAATAGAAGCGGAGGAAGTGAATGAAGCCATTCAGTCTGTATTGATTATTAAAATTTTCCTCCAAAGCCTGCAGAACTACAGCCATCTCATTCAGCTCAGTACTTTTCTCTTCCTGGAAGGGGATGGTTGTTTACAGTGCAAGCAATTTCCTGTTAGCTTCTTAGGCTAGCTTCCTTCACAGTCGATGCTTGATTCATCACTTTCTCCTCCACTGGAAGCAACTTTTTCAGTGCCTCACAAAGTCCCAACCTCACTTCCTTTCTAACCATATGAGAATGAGTCTGACTGTTATGGAGGATTTTTCTTGCAATGTTCCCTCATTTTTAAAAACACTCCCCGAACTTTCTCATTAGACTTGTGAGACCTTCTCATTAGACAAGATCGCTTGTGTTATCGGTGCATAGGGTGCAACTCTGGTCTGGAGCACTTCTAATCCCACTGAATGCCTCTTTAACAATATTTGTGTCAGATTTTTTGCAAAGTTTTTGATTATTCTCTTTGTGAAGATGATGATGCTCAGTGGCTCTAAAGCCTAAAGACGTTGCTTTGTTCCGTAGGTTTTCATATGTACATCCATCCATTATCTTCTGCTTTATCTGAGGTCAGATTGCGGGGGCAGCACCTTGAGCAGGGTATCCCAGACCTGTCTTTCCCCAGCCACGTCTTCCAGCTCTTCTGGAAGGACTCCAAGGTGTTCCCAGGCCAGCCGAGAGACATAGTCTCTCCAGCGTGTCCTGGGTCTTCCTCGGGGTCTCCTCCCAATTGGACATGCCTGAAACACCTCCCTAGGGAGGCGTCCAGGAGGCATCCTTACCAGATGAACCACCTCAACTGGCTCCTTTCGATGTGGAGGAGCAGCGGAATCTCTCCTGGATAAATGAACTTCTCACCCTCTCTCTAAGGGAGAGTCCAGCTAACCTGCGAAGAAAACTCATTTCGACCACTTGTATCCGCAATCTTGTTCTTTCGGTCACTACCCAAAATTTGTGGCCATAGGTTAGGGTAGGAACCACCATTGTTATGTTACAATGATAATCTGGGAAACTGAAAGAGTCTCATCAAAGGGGCTCAAGACTCTGAAGCGGATCATGACACCATCCTCTGTGGGATTGCAAGTACTACAATAAACCCATACTGACAAGTTTGTTTGTCACCCAGAAGTAAGTAGAACCTTAGATAACCTTCAGAGATCCTTTTGGTGGCCAACCATGACTAAAGACATTGAGGAGTATGTTTAGGCCTGTCCATTATGTACCCAGAGTTATAGTGGGGCCATCTTGTTTCCTTCAACCATCTCGTTTCCTTCAACCATTGCCCATTCCTTCCTGTCCTTGGTCACATATCGTTGGATTTTGTCAGTAGCTTGTAACCTTCACAAGGGAATATGTAGTTCCGTCCGTCCGTCCGTCCGTCCGTCCGTCCATCCATCCATCCGTCCATCCATCCATCCATTCATCCATCTTCTTTACCATCTTGTCAGGGTTCTCTTTTCTCCACTGATGGTTTTATTTGCTCTTTCTTTGTCTTTAAATGTAAAACTACAGATATAAACGTCAACAGTTTATTTTAGTTTTAGCGGTGATGTATTCATGCATTTACTATAGAATTTTAAAATGTATTACATTTTTTTCCAATCTTCAAGTAGGTTTTGCAGTTTTTAACACATTTTATTTAGTGGGTGGAGTGGCAGAAATGTCTCTTCTGGTTGTAAAGGTTGCTGAACCCTGGCATTTTAGGAGAAGATGTAGTTAGAACTGGGCAGGTCTGGGTTCCCATGTTTCCATGTTTACTCTGTTGCTATCACAACCTGGTCATAGACGAAGTTATTTGAAGAAAGACAAAAAGAATGAATGGATGTGTTCCCATCTTTACAACGGTACCGTACTTTTTAAGGATCATGCAATGGAACAATGAAAGAAGGCAATGCTCCTGACTGAGTTTAACACCTGACCTTAGTGCCACCAATCAAGTCTTGCTTTCTGACGAAGGCTGCAACGCTGCAGCGGGACGTCAGTCAACCACAACTTTTAAATTAGAAACAAATGACATACTGTTTACATCCATACTAAAGTCACTATTCAATTTAAACACAACCACAAGCATATCCTGTTTTTCTTGTCTTGCAGGTAATTGATATTCACCCCGAACAACAAGTGTGATTTACCGCTGCTGTATCCTATTATGCATTGTAATAGTGGGCGGGCTCAGTAGCTGTCCCTCCGCTGTGATTTGTAAGCCCACCGAAGTTCCAGAGAACGGCTTTTATCACACAGCCACATATAGGCATCGAGGCAAAACACACCCTTACAGGATCATGTTTCTCAGCATTTAAGGCCACATTTGTCAGGTGTGTTTAGTATTTAGCTTTTCTTTTTTTAGATTTCTGCTGATTGTAAACACGAAAGTGCAAATATTGACAGTGATGAAGTGGGTTTGGGCTCCATCACCTAGTTTACAGCCTCTTAAAGATGCAGGAGAAGTGAGCCGGGAGGCAGAAATGCCAGCGGGGTGAAGCTAAACATCCAACAATCCGGTGTCCGGTAGCGTAGTCATTGCAGGCCTCGTGATGACGGAAATGTGAGGTGACCAGCCTAAAAACAGTCTAGCTCTTGTTTCAAAAACACACACATAAAAAAGATGAGAGTGTACAACTTGACCATGATTAAAGTTGTCAGATGCACAGTGTTTTTTAAAGTGATTTAAGTCTATGTGTATGTATCTTTTCACAAATTGTGTGTAATTGCTTCCCACCTCACGGCTACCTTCACCTGTCATACAACAGTTTCTCTATAAGTGATGTCATCATGGAGGCAGCACGTTGCTCACTTATTTTAGTGCTGTTTGTCATCAGGTCACAGAGTTACCATAGAAACACAAATTGCAGCTCAGCGTTTACCCCACAGGGKTCAGGTCAACACAAGCCAGTGTGATGTTACTCTGTGCATTGATCTTCATCATGAAAAAGCAATCCTGCCCCCGATCAGGTCACAGCTCCAACAAAACTCATAACTTTAATATTCAGGGCACAACACTCACAGAAAACTCTTGAATTTTAAAGTTTGTGCACATAAATTGTGTTACACACATGCCTAGATGTTTCACAATGCAACAACTCAAATACTGTGAAACAAAACATTAAAATTGTAGGTTTGAAGGACAAGAATACTGAAAACGATTTAAAGTACACCAATAAATTTGCTGCCTGAAATTYCAACAAACATCAACCTTTTTTTAAATATGAGACCAACAATAAATAAACTATAAGTTCTTTTGTAATAACTTAAAGCAGTAACAACAGTTAAAGTGATGTTCTGTCATTTGATAGATCTTATCAGCTGTGACATCAGGCATAGAGCAGAGAGGAAAAAGTCTTCATCCAGGCTAATTTAATCTAATCCAATTTATTTATAAAGCCCTTTAAAACTCCTCCAGGGGAATAACGTGCTGTACAATAAAATACAGTAAAACACTTAACAATAAAAGATAAAAAGAATAAAAACAAAGGAAAAACTGTTAAAAAATCACAAAAATCAACATTATAAAATGTAGCAAAAGCCAGAGTAAAACTGGGTTTTAAGTGAAGTTTTAAAAACAGCTAATGTGGAGGTCTAATGCAAGTTGTTCCATAGCTAGGACCCAGCACTGCAAAAGCTTAGTCTCCTCTGAACTTACACAGGTTTCTAGGCTAACAATGGCTAATGACTAATGGCTAGCCAAAGGAGTACCCTTTTCTAAAATCACTTGTCAGGTTTATAATCTCACCGAACTTTTTACTAGGTACACAAGATAAATGCTCGTGAACACAAATAATCAGCCAATCACAAGATTGTAACTCTGTGCCTTTAGACGTGGTGAAAACAATATGCCGAAGTTCAAACATGCCTCACAAGTTCAAAAGAAGAAGAATAAGGATTTAAGTGACTTTGAATGTGATGTGGTTCTTAGTGACAGACAAGCTGGTCTGAGTAATTCAGAAACTGCTGATCTACTGGGATTTTTACACCCAACCATCTCAGAGTGGTCCAAAAAAGAGAAAAATGTTTAATAAGCGTGCGACCAAGAAATAACAACAAACCTTGTCAATTTCAGAGGTCAGAGGACAATGGGCAGACAGATTTGAGATGACATAAAGTTAACAGTAGCTCAAAAACCTGCAGAAAACCTTCTCTGAACTCACAACATGTCCAACCTTGAAGCAGACGAGCTACAGCTGACATGATCGGTGTTTTTCCTGAGCTCCCTCTGCCTGACTGACGACAGCTGTGGGTGTTTTTGTTAACAAGCTCAGGATCCTTTTTAAGGCTCACTCCATGTTTGGTCCACGCTGATGCATCATTGCAATTTGGTAGTTTCTAAGCCTCATAGATTTTTGTATTCTAGTCATCGCTTTTGTAATGTTAATTTCTGTTCTTGCCCAGGACCAAGCTTTGTYACTTTTTTGACCACGGACTGCTCACAAGGAAGTTTCACCACTTTCACCACCTGCACTGCCACTAAAGGATTGAACTCTACTGTGCCACTCACATGTATTGGACTCCAGGTCACTCTGCTGAAGATCAGACACTCTGTTGGATCTCCCCTTGTTGTGCCGGACAGAGACCACCAAAACCTGTAAGAAGAAAAACTAACCAATCATTCATTACTAATCCAAGTAAAGGCTTTCTGGAACTGTTACTTACCTCTCGTTCTGCTTCCCCCTCCTCAGCCCTGGGTCCAAACGATACAGCACCTGTAAATAAAAACACTTTCTCTTTGAAAAACTCTGTGAGCTTACTCTGTTCTGCTTATCAGGTGACAAATCTCTACCCTGTGTCAACAGCAGCAGAAGACCACAAATGGTTCTATAAGAACAGGAAACTTGACGCTACAGTTCACACAGCTTACTGAAACTAGATACTGGATAAATGGTGCCGGGTCTGGACTCACTGGGTAGGAACCTTTACAACCTGATCTGGTGGTCTTTACAACCACCAGATCTCAATCCAAGTAAAAGTACCACCATTTCAACATATTTTAATCAAGTAAAGTAAAAAGTAGCCATCCAAGAAATGACTCAAGTATTTGGTAAAATGTGTACTCAAGTACTGAGTAACTGATAGACATTTGATGTTTAAAAACTACATTAGATGGAAAAAAWATATAAAGTGATGTGTAAATTTTGGCATTCTAAAGATCAAAATGAAAATAATTTATATAAACGCAAAACAAATTCAGGCAAACATTTTTCCCAAATCAGTTTTCAATATAAAATTTATAAAACTAACCAAAACTGCAGGTGTGTGTGGGGCATTTTTGGTGAATATTTATATACAGTATATCTCAGTTTGAGGACCACCTGCTCTTTGATGATTTACACATGTTCACAGAACTCCTGAAGCTGTTTAGAGCAGTGTTTCCCAAAGTTGGGGTGGGGTCCCAAAAAATCAAGATGGGGTCCTGAAAATATTTTCTGAATTAATTACATTTTTGCCTTAGTTGTTACAAAGGAGTGAGGTTAGTATATTTAAAATGGATAAATGTAGTATAAAAAATATTGTTACTATGCCCATGTTTTGTTGACCTGATACAAATGTTTATCATCCAAAAATAGCTGGGGACACAGGTCTCTACTTTTGTTATTTTGTGATTCAAAAGCTGAAAGGTTTGGGAACCACTGCACTTTGGTTCCCAAAGTTGGGCTTGGGACCCAATTATGGGT